AGCATCTCCATGGTGACACAATCCCCGAGATGTCGCTGAGCACAGACACGGGGGATCTCCCCTAAGCAGTCTCCTTAGCCTTCACCTGCAACCCAGCATCAACCATTTTGTTCAGATTCTCCAGCGGGGAGATTGGGGCATCCCCTCTTGAGGCCGAGGCTGCTGGTGGTAGAATGAAATGCCCTGATCACATCCAGAATAGATGCTGGCACTGCCGAGCCCGAGCTCTGCTGCCGAGTTCCCATCTGGTTAGAAGATGAACCTTGGAGAATCACGAATGGTGTGTCAGCCAGACACTCAGTGCCAAGTAGCAGATTTAAGATTTCTTGATACTCCTAAACAGCTGAGCAGAGATTTTATCAGCGGCTGCAAAGGCAGCCAGCCCGTCGTCTCCTTGTCAGCATTTGTGGAGTAAATTGGAGCACTGAGCTGGCAGGTCACCGCTGCGGAGATGTCTGAGAACCTTCTCTTCGGTGCTTACGTTGTGTTTTGTGTCAAATTGTGTATCCGAGGTCTCTGGGAGTGAGGAGTGTTGCCCTCTACTGGGACTCAAACTTAATTTTTTATTCAAGCAGGTTAGCCAAAAATGTTTCAGCTGGTCGCGATGTTTCTCACTTGTTTGGTAGACACTGAGATGTGTTTATTAATGAGGCTGAATATTGAGAGTTCTCGGGGATTTCCAGTTGCGATGCACCCCGGCCTTCTGCCTGCTGTGGGAGGCAGGGCGGGCAGAGGATGTCTCATGTTGGAATTCAAACAGTTCACCCAGAAACTTCCCCCGCCTGCTTCCTGGCCTGGGGTTGGTTTGTTCAGGTCTCTCTCTAGAACCTATACTCTTGCTGCTTGGCATGTGGGTTTCTGGTGATCTCTCTGCACAGAATCTTTTTTTTTTTTTGACAATCTAAGGGAAAACAGGTCATTGTCCCTGATGAAATAATCAGGTAGTGCATGTTTTAAAAATTCTCGTGGCACACCGTTGAAAATCGCTGATCTTGTTTCTATTCCTTAGCCTATGCCTACTGATAAACACTCGTTTCCCACACCGGCGCTGCCCATTCTCTGACAGCGAAAAGGAATCTGACCTGGGACCTGCAGGCACTGAGCCCGGGAGAGGGGGCCTTGCACAGAATCTTTTTAAAAAATATTAGTGGAGTCACTTGTAAAACAAAGACCCTGTTTCTAAAATCATTCCCAATGCAGTTATGATTTCTTTAGTGATGGGCATTACAAACTCAAATTTCTCTATATTGGTAAAACCTCATAGTTATCTAATGATCCACGGGACCGCCAAAGTTATTTTGGTATAATAGGATTTAAGGTGCATAAGTTGCTAATAATCGAATTTACAGCCTGCAGGAATTAGCAAATAAGGCACCTTGAATTTATTTGGGCAGTGCTTTTCAACAGTGACCCACAGCCATAATCCATCTTGCAGAGAAATACAGCTCATATATATGGATTTACATGTAATTATGTAGCTACACACAGAAATGAAACAAAACTTTCCCGAATTTAATTCGTTTAGAGTGCACTGTGGTTTTTCTATTCTAGTTTCTTCCGTACTTCCTCCTTCCCTCCCTCTTTCTTCTTACGCTAGTCATGATCCATCAAGTCAGTTGCACCAATTTATTAATGGGTCATGACCCACTGTTCCAAACATACTGCATTAGGGGTAAGATTTCCAACTCTTTCTATCCCTTCCTTTTCCAGGTTTCTGATGTGTGTATTGGGGGTAGGGGTGGGGGCTTTCTTCCTTTCATTCTTCCAATTCCTTTGCTTTCTACCAGATAACAGAACAAAAAAAATAAGTTGAGATTAAAACCCCACCTCCAGCTCAGTTGTCCTGTACTCCTCCCCGGCAAACAGGCCTGTAAAATGCATCATCCCCGCGTGAGCTACTCTGCTCCTGGCGCTGTAGGCAAGCTCTCTTGCTTACCAGTTGAGAGTAATCATTACAACTAGTTTTATAAAAGGTCCATAAGGTTAACTCTGTTCTGGCTTAGGAGTAACATTGTTTCATAATAGTCATAACCCTGGCCGATTTCTCAGTGGGTTACAGATCAGCCCATTGAAGGGTTGCAGGTTCAATTCTTGGTCAAGGACACGTACCTGGGTTGCAGGTGGGGCACTACAGGAGGCAACCAATCAATGTCTCTCTCTCTCTTTTTTTCTCTCTCTCTCTCCTTCCCTCCTACCCTTCCTCCCTTCCTCCCACTCTCTCTAAAAATCAATGGATAAAATGTCCATGTCCTTGGGTGAGGATTAACGATGACAACAAAATAATAATAATCATATTGTAATAATAAATATTAAGTACTTATGCACATTATCTCATTAAGTCCTCACAACCCCCAGAGACTGGTACATTATTTATCCCTGAGTTATACACAGGAAGCTGAGACAGGAAAGGTCGTGTAATGTAACCAAGGGCACACAGAGGACAGACAGCATGACAGTTGAGCTGAACACTTATCCGTTCCTTTCACCTCTCTGCAGTCATGTTATTCATGAAGCCAGCAGCCTGTCTGAGCTGCTCCTGTCTTACACATGTGTTTGAGAGTGGTAGAACCCCTTGCCCTGCCTTAAACTTCCATGCATGTGGTTGGCTGGCATTCATTGAACTTCTCTGTGTCTCGGGCACTGTGCCAGGCACTGGGGGTAGACTCAGGAATGTCCTGCTCCCATCAGGTAATCATCCTGCTACTTGGGGACGGGAACAGCTTGGTGAGGAGATCCCAGGAGGGAGTAGGGCAGGGGCAGGCTCCCCAACCCAGCATGTCCTGCTCCTGTGCTCTTGGGAAGTGTGAGGGTGGTGTGGGACAGGAGGGGCCAGGACCTCTGACCCTTCATCAGCTTTAACAAACCCTGAGAAAGTATTGGGCAGCTCTGTGGGATCATTAAAACACAAGAATTCCTATACCTTCTTCAGGTTCCTAGGAGAATAACATAGCTTTTCTTTTGCATGGTTATCAACCATGATATAAGAGGAAATTTAACCTTTCTGTAATATGAGTCATTATTTTGTTATCTAAAAGGGACAAGGACGTAGTTGATTCATTTTAATGAAAATGGCATGGAAGGTTTAGAAGGATCAAAGTTTTGTGATTGTGGCCGGGACCGGTTTGGCTCAGTGGATAGGAGCGTCGGCCTGTGGACTGAGGGGTCCTGGGTTCGATTCCAGTCAAGGGCATGTACCTTGGTTGCGGGCACATCCCCATTTGGGGGTGTGCAGGAGGCAGCTGGTTGATGTTTCTCTCTCATCGATGTTTCTAACTCTCTGTCCCTCTCAATTCCTCTCTGTGTAAAATCAATAAAATATATTAAAAAAAAAAAAAAGTTTTGTGATTGTGTGACCTCGCGGCCTGTTTTCACCCTGGGCCTACCTCTTCTCGCACTGTGTTGCTCACCTGCCCCTGTAACCCTGGCCTCGTGGAATTGTCTCTGCCCTGCAAGGGGAAAACCTCACATGCGGTTTGATGCCGGCATTAGTTACCGGAAGGTTTACAGATGACACTGACCCTGCCTGGATGAGAGCAGGCCCCGGGGCGGACCAGCGCACACACCGCCCGTTAGAAGTGCAGACGCAGGGATCAGGATCCAGGCGACTGCGGCTTCAGAGCCCGGGCAGGGCGGCCTAAGCCAGCATGTTCCCCAGGCGCAGGAGCATCCTGAGGACGCACTTGGTTCCCGCCCAGCCCGCAGCTGCCTCGGGCACATGCCCGTCTGTGGAAGTGAACCCTTTGTGCCTCAACCCTGCCTGCTCCCTTGACAGCCAGCAGTGCTTGCCAGTTAGCTCTTTTGCGTAAACCCTGGAAAGTATATTCCCATACATTCTGGGGTCAAATTCAACAACGTACAAAAACAGCTTGCACAGTTAGGACTGGATTACAATGAATGGCACATGAAGTGTACCGTTTGGTAAGTCTTGGCATGTAGGCGCTAGTATATCAGTAAAGCCATCGCCACAATCAAGATAATAAACATATCCATCATCGGCTACCATTCAAGTTTTGTGCCCCTTTGTCTCCCTGCACTCCATATAACCACTAACCTGCTTTCTGCCACTATCGATACGTTTGTGTTTTCTAGAAATTTATGTGAATGGAATCATAAAGTATGGGTCTCTTTTGTTTGTTTGGCTTCTTTCAGCATAATTACTTAGAGTTATGAGTGCCAGGTGTAACAGTTTTTATACATAGCAAGTGGATCATACATAGCAAGTGCCCTTCTAGATGCCTAAGATACGTGTCAGTTCATTGCAGACTGCGGGTGGCTTAGGACAGCGGGGCTTCCTTTCCTCCTGGAGTTCTGGCCGAGCAGGGCTGCTGGACCCGCAGGGAGACCAAAACTTAGACACCTGAGAGGCCCCATCATTTCATGGACGCTCAGCAGCACGGGCTCTGGAGCATCTGGGCTAGCCTGGCCCTTTTCCAACCCGAGACAAGATGTGATTCCAGGCGGCAGTGGAGTGGGCAGCACATTCCACTGTCCGGACCCCGTTCTTCTGTGCCCACCACCAGGCATCTCGGTGTCCACGTGGCGACGCCTGTTCTCCTGGAGGCTGTGGTCAGTGAGGTCACCGGCCCGGGCGCTCCTCATTCCCAGGGTCTCCCTCCCACCGCCAGCAGGGTTCTGCCCAGCCTTGCCAGCCGCCGTGCTCCGTCTCCTGTCGGGCCCTGGGTAGTAAGTCCAGCGCTGGCGGCCTGCAGCAGCTCCAGCCTTCCGGGTCCATGGAGCCTCTCTCAGGAAATGGAGGGCATGAGCAGGTTTACACTGAGATGTGTATTTGCATCCGTGGTGCATTCTGGACAGAGTGACTCAGGGCGAGGAAATCAGCTCCTCACATCTCCTTGGCGCACGCGTGCGCGCGTGTGTGTGTTTGTGTGTGTGTGTGTGTGTGTGTGTATGAGAGAGAGAGAGAGAGAGAGACAGACAGACAGACAGACCTGTGTGGGGTGCAGTAAATCAGAACATCCCCTAACACGCCTTGTGTTTTCCAGGCGCTCCTAGCAGGCATGAGGAACCGGGAGAACAGCTTGCCCTGCCAGGGCAATGGGGAGCAGGCCGGCAGGGGCAAGAACTCGGTGTCCGCGTGGCCGGGGGAGGAGGAGCCCTGCAACGACGCGACCGCCCCCTCCTACAAGAAGCCCCTGTACGGCATCTCGCACAAGATCATGGAGAAGAAGAACCCCCCGGCAGGGGACGTGCTCGGCACGCACGAGCTCCTGGAGAAGGCGAACCCCGGCAACAGCCCCTCGCCCCTGCGGCTCCTGAACGAGACTCAGAAGCGGGACGGCGTGGCCTCGGCCGACGGCGACCCCAACATCTACTTCCTGATCCAGAAGATGTTCTACATGCTCAACACGCTCTCCTCCAACATGTCCCAGCTGCACAGCAAGGTGGACCTGCTGTCCCTGGAGGTGAGCCGCATCAAGAAGCAGGTGAGCCCCCCGGAGACGGTGGCCAAGTTCCAGCCGCCCCCCGAGTACCAGCTGACGGCCGCCGAGCTCAAGCAGATCGCGGACCAGAGCCTGTCGGGCGGGGACCTGGCCTGCCGCCTGCTGGTGCAGCTCTTCCCCGAGCTCTTCGGCGACGTGGACTTCTCCCGCGGCTGCAGCGCCTGCGGCTTCGCGGCCAAGCGCAAGCTGGAGTCGCTGCACCTGCAGCTCATCCGCAACTACGTGGAGGTCTGCTACCCCGCGGTGAAGGACACGGCCGTGTGGCAGGCCGAGTGCCTGCCCCAGCTCAACGACTTCTTCAGCCGCTTCTGGGCCCAGCGGGAGATGGAGGACAGCCCGCCGGGGGGCCCGGGGGCCGGCTTCTTCGAGGCCGAGCCGGTGGACGCCGGCCACTTCCTGGACAGCAAAGACCAGGAGGAGGCCCTGTCCCTGGACCGGAGCAGCACCGTCGCCTCGGACCACGTGGTGGACACGCAGGACCTCACCGAGTTCCTGGACGAGGCCTCGTCGCCGGGCGAGTTCGCGGTGTTCCTGCTGCACCGGCTCTTCCCCGAGCTCTTCGACCACCGCAGGCTGGGCGAGCGGCACAGCTGCTACGGGGACGGCGGCAAGCAGGAGCTGGACCCGCAGCGGCTGCAGATCATCCGCAACTACACGGAGATCTACTTCCCCGACGTGCAGGAGGAGGAGGCCTGGCTGCAGCAGTGCGCCCAGCGCATGGACGACGAGCTGGAGGCGCTGGGGCTGGACGGGGGCAGCGAGGGCGAGCCGCCGCGGGACGACTGCTACGACTCCTCCAGCCTGCCGGACGACGTCTCCGCGGTCAAGGTGGAGGACAGCTTCGAGGGCGAGCGGCCCGGCCGGCGGTCCAAGAAGATCTGGCTGGTGCCCATCGACTTCGACAAGCTGGAGGTGCCGCAGCCCGACTTCGAGGTGCCGGGCGCCGACTGCCTGCTCAGCAAGGAGCAGCTGCGCGGCATCTACGAGAGCAGCCTGAGCATCGGCAACTTCGCCTCGCGCCTGCTGGTGCACCTCTTCCCCGAGCTCTTCACGCACGAGAACCTGCGCAAGCAGTACAACTGCAGCGGCTCGCTGGGCAAGAAGCAGCTGGACCCGTCGCGCATCAGGCTCATCCGCCACTACGTGCAGCTGCTCTACCCGCGGGCCAAGAACGACCGCGTCTGGACGCTGGAGTTCGTGGGCAAGCTGGACGAGCGCTGCCGCCGCCGGGACACGGAGCAGCGGCGCTCCTACCAGCAGCAGCGCAAGGTGCACGTGCCGGGCCCCGAGGGCCGGGACCCGGCGGGCTACGCCGTCAGCTCCGCCGAGAGGTTCCGCGAGGAGTACGAGGGGCCCCCGCTGCCCCCCGAGAGGAGCAGCAAAGACTTCTGCAAGATCCCGCTGGACGAGCTGGTGGTGCCCTCGCCCGACTTCCCGGTGCCCTCGCCGTACCTGCTGTCCGACAAGGAGGTGCGCGAGATCGTGCAGCAGAGCCTCTCGGTGGGCAACTTCGCCGCGCGGCTCCTGGTCAGGCTCTTCCCCGAACTGTTCACGGCCGAGAACCTCCGGCTGCAGTACAACCACTCGGGCGCCTGCAACAAGAAGCAGCTGGACCCCACGCGGCTCAGACTCATCCGCCACTACGTGGAGGCCGTGTACCCCGTGGAGAAGATGGAGGAGGTGTGGCACTACGAATGTATCCCCAGCATCGATGAGCGGTGCCGCCGCCCCAACAGGAAAAAATGTGACATCCTCAAGAAAGCCAAGAAAGTGGAGAAGTGACGGGTACCCCCACCCCCGGGCCTGAGCCTTCCTTCGGAGCTACGTGTACGGTATCCACGGACACGCACCTTACGGCAGGGGCAAGTGGCTTACTACTTTTGCACACAAGACACCACCCACCCAACCGCAAGAACGAAGCCTTACGTCTGGTCTCTCTGACTTACGGCCTGCGTCCCCCAGGGGTGCGGCCGGTTTGGGGATGGCGGAGCTGGGAGAGCCGAGGCCTCGGGAGCAGGCTTCTCTCTCTCTCTCCTGGCTTGCCCTCCCCTTCTTCTCAGTGTGAAATGCAAATTCAGCAACTCCTGTTCCTCTTCCCACATTTTACATCTTCCATTTTTATCAATTGTTTTTTAAATTAAAAGGAAACCTTTTTTTTAAAAAGATCACTTAGGCTCTTTGGGGGCCATTTTGCTTAGGGGGGGGGGATCTTTTAAATATTCATGGAGAAATACTGTTCGATGACTTCAGTTGCCGGGGTTTCTTTTGAAGATGGTTTCAGATTTATGAAATGTTTAGAATGGCCGTGCTTCTGCACGGTGGCTGATAGCTGCAGGTGGCAGAGAGACTGACTTGACTGACCTTGTCTTTTACATCTGGTTTCGAGGAGTCCGGATGCCCCTTGGATGGCGGCAGGGGAACGGGGTGACGGACATCCCGTTGGCCCACGGCTGCTTCCTCCCTGCGCTGTGGCGCCGAGGAGGGGCTTCCTCGTGGCCTGGCCCAATGGTCATTGCTGGGTGGGTGGAGTGTCGTGCTCCCTCTCTGTAGACAAGAACACTGGATGATGATGATATGAATGTAGATAGACGTGGAAACACGTTCACAGTGTCCTTTGAGCTGTGTCCTTCCACTGCCCCCTTCCCTCTCTGTCTGAGGAGGCTGGTGGGAGGAGCAGACACGTGTCCCTGGAGAACAGTGTGTGTGAGTAATCGGCTTCTTGTTTGCTGTAAGGACGGGTCCCTTTGGACCCACCTAGAACTGTTTACTTTCTGTGTGTGTGTGTGTGTGTGTGTGTGTACAAAACCTGGGTTCTGGGGGCTGTGTGGCGACCTCACCATAGCTCTGTGTTACTCCTCCAATCAGCATGCATCCTGTTCCTCAGGGCAGGCCCAGTTCTCCTGGGGATACCCGGTATTGGAAGGACACAGGTCATCTCAAATGGGGCTCCGTGTCCCTTCCCAGGGTCCACTCAGAGCTCTCCCCTCAAACCCCCTAGAAGGCCCTGCTGCCTGACATCTTGGTCCCTTGCCTTGGACTGAGACGTTTCTTCTCTTCCCACTGGTTGAGGCCAGTGGCGTGCTCTCCAGGAGTCTCAGCCAGGAAATCCCCCAGGAGTTAAAGTTCTTGAAAACAATACTTTTATGTACCTGACTTTGGGGCCCAAATGCCTAAGAGGAAAAGGAAACCGTCTAGAACCCAAACTGAATGCATCATACCAGGAACCTGGGGAAATGAGTGAATCACACAGGGTAGTCATAAAGCCCTGTGGCTTACACATTGGCTACCTTAAAATGCAGAAACAATAGAAGCAATCTGTGAATTGTCTTTATTCAGCTGACAACGACTTTGGTTCCAACCAAGCAGGCTGGTTGGCTGGTTTGTTTTAATATTATAGATATGACAGGATTTTGAACAATGTTTACGTGCCGACCTAGCTTTATTAAAATTGCTTTTAAATGCCATTTACAGATTATTTCTGTTGGAACTGCAGTCCTACATTATTGAAATTTAGAAATGCACAGGGATTTAATGACTCACCCACCCACATGTGCACGCACACATTTCTTTTTACAAAAACAAGTGAGATGATGGGGACCTACGTAAACAACTTCCGCTTCTTTGTGCCTGGAAAGAAGGGACTGGAGCAGCCAGGAGGGTCACCCCACGCCCCCTCACCTGCGCCTTTCTCTATGCCTTAGTATCCCAAACACACAAATGCACGCAAGTCAATGCACATGTGCACACATACATGCATGTACACACATGGCCTACCCCCAACCCAAAGACGGCAGTGGCCCTCGCCCGCCAGCCCTGCTGGTCGGGGAGTGCCGTGGGATTTGTTCTGGTCTCCGGGATGCATCCGAGAGGATTCCAAGCCATGTGAACGTTGTCCTGCTTTCTAGAGGGTGGAATGTGACCCTGCAACTTCAGAAGCACAATCATTTTTTTTAAGGCCTATGTACCCACGTTAAAGAAATCAACAGGTTCTAGGTTCTAAGGAGGAACCTAGATCATGTTTTTTGGAAACTCTATTTGGGTGGTTTCCTTTTATACCTTTCCTGCGTAGGGCTTACCCCCTGCCCTCCCCAAATCTTAGTGTCCCTTTCAGTGAAGAGAGGTGGCCACACTCTGGGAGCTGTTTGCTGTCCCTCTGGACAGTCTCGGCAGGAAGCGAATGCAGGCCCTGTGGCCTGTGTGGTGCCCTCAGTTCCCCAGCCTTACAGATGGGCTCGGGCAGTTTTTACATGAAGCAATAGAAGTACAAACTACTTATAAACTACTTGTTTTTTGTTTGTTTTTGAAATGTATTATTTTTCATAAAATCTGTTGGCAAATCCCTTCCCCCTTTCTCTCTAAATTTTTGGTTTTCACTTGTTTTTCGGGGTGTTTTTCTGCCTTGTACCGGAGAAGTAAAGAATTAGCACAGACACATTCTGACGATAAGTAAAATAGCAAGTCACGTTAGGTGGTAGTGCCCCTCCCGTTCTGCGTTAAGGAGCTTTTAAAGGAATGTCTGAAGGTAGTCATGGACGTCCTAAGTGTTCTAACCCTGCTTCAGTTCCCTCCGGCCGTGTCTGCCTGACCACAGCCCTGTGACAGGGGGTGAAGTCGTGTCTTGTGTCGAGGGTGTTCGTGTGCCCCTCCCCATTCTATGTCGGCCCTGAACCTTCCTTTCTGTAAGTTTGGGGGGGGGGGGGGTGTCATGTCAGCTGCAATCATCAACCCACCAATGGGATCTACTGAGTGATGAATGGATTAGCTGTTTAAATGGTAAGAGTCACTGGCCTGACCAGACCCCAGCATGGCACCGGGTTCCTGTAGAAATGGCCTCGGTTTCCCCCTTTCCCCAAAACATTTTGCCTCTTGCCTGAATGGGGAGGGGCTTTCTCAAGACCCCTGACTGGAGCCCGCTGAGCTCTCTCCCTGCCTGTGTAGCTAGGTGATATGAAGTGGGGCTGGGGGCCCAGGGCTGTCACTGCCATTTGGGAATACTTGCCTCGTGTAGATCCAGCCTTAATGTTTTTCTGACATCCTAGTGGTAGCAGACCCTGCACAAAGTGGATATCAGAGTTAATACTGTGAGGAGACAAAATAACGAGAATAGTTTTACCAAAGATAATGAACTATCATATAATGTCTGCATTTTACCATGGATTTGAGTGCATCATTAGAAAACTGAATGTAACAGAAACCCAGGACATTTTTTGGAAATTGTATGCTCTCTAGCAACTTTGTGTGGATTTTTATACAAGCACTGTTTTATGAGTTATATAAAATGTTTAAAAATAGAAAAAAAAAATATGGTCTCGTAACATCTTATTTCCTCAGGGAAGAGGTTTCTTGGTCTATGTGTCTTTCTCTGTGGCCTCCTCACTGCTCCCTTGGGGTGGTTGGGACATGAATGCTTGGGGCACCCCAGCCTCTGGGGCTTCCCTACATGGGGTGTTGGGGCTGTCGCTCACCGGACTTCAGTTTGTCACAGCTGAGTGAAAAGCCACCAAATAAATCCTAGCCCCTTTCTACACAACCCGCTTCCTGGCCACATGGTGTGTGTGGGACACACACACACACACACACACACACACACACACATTCACTTTATCTTTCCCAGGAGCCCGGCGCTCCCTGCCTGAGGCTCGGCCAGCAGAGCTGCTTTTCCCTTTGGATTAAATGGGATTTGCTTCCTCAAAGCTAACATGTTATTAACTGATAACAAAAGGATGTGTGTTTCTTCTCAGTCTCCAGCTAATTACAAATCGTCAACTTTAATATTTCATAGTAGCAGTAATGTCTCAAGCTGTCAGAGGGACTTTGTTTTGGCCCAAGGGCCGCAATATTGAAGTAAGCTGTGGCTTGTGATTGGGACACCTTCCTCCCGGGAGCGAGAGCGAGAGCGAGGTCTGCCATGAGCCTGACACCTGTCCCTGAGCCACACGCAGGTTGGGACTGGTCAAGGGCTGGAGCCCCAGAGGCGAAATACACAAGCGAGTTTAAGCAGGACTTGACGGAAAGCTAAATTCTTAAGCCCCTTCCAGCTGTAAGTATCTTTGTTTTCTACCAAAAAGAAAATTCAGCCAGGACCGGTTTGGCTCAGTGGATAGAGCGGCGGCCTGCGGACTGAAAGGTCCCAGGTTCGATTCTGGTCGAGGGCATGTACCTTGGTTGCGGGCACATCCCCAGTAGGGGGTGTGCGGGAGGCGGCTGAGCGATGTTTCTAACTCTCTGTCCCTCTCTCTTCCTCTCTGTAAAAAAATCAATAAACATATTTAAAAAAATAAAACACTACATTCCCAAGTCACAATACATGAAGGTTCAGGTCCAAAAACAATTGCAAGCCCATGTCCTGTCACCCACATCTGCTGAACCTCTGGTGGGCCTGGGTATGGGTGCGCTGGTTTTAGAATTGCCTTGAGTGAAATAACTGGGAATTGTGGACAGACGTGTTCTGGTAGTATAATAGTACATTTCTTGAGACTGTGAAGTTGATGCTGTGGATTGCATTCCCCAAGAGCAGAATCTGAGACGGGGGTTCTTGTGCAAGTGGTGGAGGTTGTGCCGTCAGGAGGAGCATGGGAAAAGCAGATGAAAAGCCACGAGCAAGAGTGTGGTTTCCACTGTCGTCCAGCTTCATCCCATCCACTGGGAAACCCTGTCGGCAGAATTAGTCCCCGTTGAAGCCTTGGGGCTGGTTAAGGATGAGTCTGAGGTCTTGCCCATGGGAAGGGGGTATCTCACCTGGCGGGGTGGCTCCAGAAGGGTCGCTGGCCCTTGCAGCTACA